AGAAAGAAAGAAAGAAAGAAAGAAAGAAAGAAAGAAAGAAAGAAAGAAAGAAAGAAAGAAAGAAAGAAATATTTGTAAAAAGCTGTGGAGAGCCTGCTCTGCACTGTCCCCAGAGGAAGCAGGAGCCAGGAGCCGACCCTGACTCCAGCCTTGGCCCCGTCTTGTGCAGGGATCCTGTGGAACCTGTCCTCCAGTGACCACTTGAAGGACCGGCTCGCCCGAGATACACTGGAGCAGCTCACAGATCTGGTGCTAAGCCCTCTGTCAGGGGCAGGCGGGCCCCCCCTCATCCAGCAGAATGCTTCTGAGGCAGAGATCTTCTACAACGCTACTGGCTTCCTCAGGTGTGCTAAGTGGAGGCACTGGGCCAGGAGATGCTGGGGGCAGGGAGCCAGGTGCCAGAGAAGGGAAACTCCTAGAAGCATGTTCATTTGCCACCTAACTGACAAGAATAGTTAGCTGAGCCCCGTGGGAGACGTAGACAGCAGAGAAAAGTTTAGGGGCGGAGGCAAGAACGGGATGGGCAGCACACCCTGGAGCATTATGATTCACTGAATCAAGTCTCTTGCCCTGACATCCACCTTCCTAAACTTTGAGGAGTTAGTTGGGGGATGGGTATGTGAAGGGCAGGGCCAGAAGTGTCTGGTAAAGTCTAGGAACAGAAGGGCACAGGGGCCAGTGCCAACTCAGGATGGAAAGACCAGTACCTAATGATTTCGTCTCCAGGACAAGGGCTTCAGGTTAAGGGTCCCTGAGGTGGCACTTCCAGGCTCCCTGAGGGGACTGTGTTGATATCTCTGGGGAAGCTCTGATCTACCTCCATCCCCAGGAACCTCAGCTCAGCCTCCCAGGCCACTCGCCAGAAGATGCGTGAGTGCCATGGGCTAGTGGATGCCCTGGTTACCTACATCAACCATGCCCTGGACGTGGGCAAGTGTGAGGACAAGGTGAGGGGCAGCTGGTGAGCCAAGGGGGACCAGGGGCTTCGGCCCACTCTGATCACCCTCTGTTCCTTCCCCGCAGAGTGTGGAAAATGCTGTGTGTGTGCTGAGGAATTTGTCCTACCGCCTGTACGATGAGATGCCACCATCAGCCTTGCAGCGGCTTGAAGGCCGGGGCCGCAGGGACATGGCCGGGGCACCACCTGGTGAAATGGTGGGCTGTTTTACACCACAGAGTCGGAGGCTACGAGAGGTGAGCCCAGACCAGGGAGGCCAGGGACAGGGAGTGGCAGCCTGATGCTCTGACCTCAGCTGTACCCCTGGCCCTGGCTGATCCCTGTCCCTGCCCACTCAGCTTCCTCTCACAGCTGATGCACTCACCTTTGCCGAGGTATCTAAGGATCCCAAGGGCCTCGAGTGGCTGTGGAGCCCCCAAATCGTGGGGCTATACAACCGACTGCTGCAGCGCTGTGAACTAAATCGGCATACAACGGAGGCGGCCGCAGGGGCACTACAGAATATCACCGCGGGTGACCGCAGGGTCAGTAGGCTGGCAGGTCACACTCCTGGCCTTATGCTGGGCACTAGGGCTCATGGATGAGAGCCACGCCCTAAGAATTCATGGTCTGTTGTGGGGCAGGATCCTTAAGAGTGAGTCATGAAACCTTTGCTCGTCCTGAGAAATGGGACCATATGGATTTGGGTTCCGACATTCCGAGCAGAAGGGTTACCTGATCAGGTCCTGACTTGGCAGAACAGACAGAAGTATCAGGCAAGAAATGAAGATGTGATTCTGCCTCAATCCTGAACAGGGCTGTCTAGGGCTGGCTGGGTTGCGTCTGGGCTTCACCAGGTTCTCTGCCTTTCCCTGCAGTGGGCAGGCGTGCTGAGCCGCCTGGCCCTGGAACAGGAGCGTATCCTGAACCCCTTGCTGGACCGCGTTCGCACCGCTGACCACAACCAGCTGCGCTCACTGACTGGCCTCATCCGAAACCTGTCTCGGAATGCCAGGAACAAGGACGAGATGTGTGAGTTCTGTCCCTGGTCCAGTACACAGCCCATGTCTCCCAAGGAGCTGGCTTCTGGTTAGCAAGTCAAATGGAGTGGGCAGGTGTGTGTGTCAGCCCCCAGGGGAGGCAGAGGTTCTGGGCACCAAGGCAGCAGGGAATATGGCAGACTGACTCTAACCTCTTATCAGCCACAAAGGTAGTGAGCCACCTGATTGAGAAGCTTCCTGGAAGCGTGGGTGAGAAGTGTCCCCCAGCTGAGGTACTGGTTAACATCATAGCTGTGCTCAACAACCTGGTGGTAGCCAGTCCCATTGCTGCCCGGGACCTGCTCTACTTTGATGGCCTCCGAAAGCTGGTCTTCATCAAAAAGAAGAGGGATAGGTAAGGACCAACCAACCCACAGCAACATGGCCAAGATATACTGCACCCCTCCTACCTCCTAGTCTTGACCCTGACCCTCTTGGAATCCCCACAGCCCTGACAGTGAGAAGTCCTCCAGGGCAGCCTCCAGCCTCTTGGCCAACCTCTGGCAGTACAGCAAGCTCCACCGTGACTTCCGGGCGGTATGTTTTACAGAGCCTGCCAACAGGGTCTCTGGGCATGAGGCTCAGTACAAGATGCAGGTCACCAGGGGAGGGACACAAGCCTGGAACACAGAGGCAAGGGACCCAGGCTATACCCAGAACATTATGGGGAAGGCAGGATCTCAGGGATGGCAAAGGCAATCCTGATCTCCCCTGTCCTCTCTTCACTGCAGAAAGGCTACCGGAAAGAGGACTTCCTTGGCCCATAGATGAAGTCTCCTGGAGGTGAAGTGATCCAGCTTCCAAGAGATAGGTTCAGCTCCTGCTGTCCCACAGCACATAGAAGAGGAGCTGATGCCACAGGACCTCTCTCTCTGGAGTCCTGTGTGTACCCTTGAGGGGCCAGGGCCACCAGAAAAGAACAGGCGCTTGCAACTGGGGAATGATTGGCTTCTGCAGGGCAAGGGAAGTGGGTAGGGCTTGAGCTGCTCTGGTGTACTGGGTGGTGATTAGTCACACTGGCAAGGGTGGGGCTGCCCGTGGCCTGACAGCTTTGTGACGGCAACATTGGGAATAAAGGTGGTTTCGAACACAGCCCCAGCTCCGTGTGTTTCCAAGACTGGCCACAGATCCTGAAGTGTACATTGTCTCCAGACATGCCTACTTGTCCCGAAGACACACCCCCAGGCCTACACACAGGCCTCCCAAGGCAGAAGACACAGACGGGACAGGGAAGAAATTTAAAAGGATAGCCAAGCTTACTGCTATCTGAGGCATAAACACAGCAGAGCCGGGGACTTCCTGAGCAATATCCATGCCATAAACACACCCAATACTCTCTGTCCACCCTGAGCTGGTGCTAGGAGGTGCCCCGGCCAGAGGATCAGATTGGCTGCCCAAGGATTGAAGTCCAGGAGTATCGGAAACAAGAAATCAGAAACAATTCTTTGTAAAATTATAAACAGTGGCTTCTTCCTGAAAGATCTGTCCAGATGAGAGAGGACTAGAGACAGTCATACTCCAAGTACCAAGGAGAGATACTAGGAGCTATCAGAGCAAGGGGTAGCTGAGGATAGAAGGCAGGTTTGAGCGGAGAGCAGCCTGGGAAACATGGGGCTGGATGAAAAAGAAGAGTCAGGGTCTCATGACGGAGCCATTAAGAGATATAGCAGTTACCACCCAGAGAGAAATAAGCCCAGGCAGGAACCAAGAGGATTTTATTTTGTGACACCCTGGAGCCACACTCCTTTCCTGAGGGGCCCAGGGATAGAGGCAAGGGTTGTGGTCCTAGGAAGAAGGAGTGCCTGCCTCTACCCTGGAAGCTGCCGCCATGATCTCATGATCTGGACTGCTAGGATACGGGCTACACGTCATCCTCAGACACAAGGCAGTAGAAGTCTGTTCGTGCACTGTAGTTTCGAGAGCCAAGGTCAGAGACATCCATTTCACTGTCATGGCCCTCTCCTATGGAGACCCTGCTTTCATGCAGTGGAGTCGGTGGTTCCCCAAAGACAGGTCCCCGGACACCTGCAGGATACCACAAGGCCTGAGGCTGCAAGATCTACAGCCAGTCTTCTACTAGGATCTGTGACCAGAAAGGGCTACTTCATGCTCACCCACCAGCCACAAAGACACCAGAAAGCCCTAAAAGTTCCCCATAGAGGCCTAGGAGCAAAACACCTCCCCAGTAAAAGGCAGTGAGGGCCACTGTCAGTGGAGGTCAAACCTCCTTAGGAGGGAGGATCTTTCGATGCCAGAGTCCTCCAAGCCTGGGTCCTTTCCAGGACGCTGGAGCTGTGTCTGACCCCTTGATCTGCAGAGAGCATACCCAAGTCTCCCTCAGGGTCTGGATCCAGCTCTGACTCCATGCCCCGGCCCTGGGCAGTACGTCCTCTCACGATTAGCATGGGATCTTTGTCATCCTGAAGTCGGGTTTGGGGGTCTCCCTCCACAGGCCTGTATTGCACCTTCCGTGGCAGTGCCAGCTGCAGCTCTTTCCAAAAATCAGAGGAAGGTGTCTAGGGGCCAGGTTTGAACCGTCAGTATAAACACATGGGGATCTACAAACTGGAAGCCTCTAGCCACCCAGGCTCAAATAGCACTGCTGGTGGCTGACTTGCAGGTCCCCCATCCCTCCAGTACCCCAGGCACCCACTCACAACCTTTCTCCCGCCCCCAGCCCTCGCACCACGGAGCCAGGCTTCCAAAGCAGCAGAGTCACGAGGTGGCGGTGCTGGCGTAGGAGACGGAGAGCAGGATGCATGGGTTCACGTCTCTGGCCCTCAAAGGTGATGAAGATAGGTCTGCGGGTGAGTTCCAGCAGGCGGCACAGTCCCTCCCTGAGAAGACCGGGCTGTCAGTGGAGGCAGGAAAGGCCTCCTGGTCCCCCACCCCAAGCCAACAGCCTGACGCACCGGAAGCTCTGGCTACACCAGGGCCGGCTCAGGAAGGCATCTGAAAGAACCACGATGAGACGCCGACAACGACTCAGGTTCACCAAAAGGTCGGCAGAGGGCTCTGTAGGCAAGGGTGTGGGCGGATGGATGAGAGGCGGGGCTAATGACAAGGGCGGGACTCAGGGAACAGAGTAGGGATGAGGAGGCAGGACTTGGGCGGTACCCGCGCGCGGCAAGAGGTCGCGGTCCTCTAGGAAGAGCTTGTATCCCCGACGCCGCTCCAACTGAGGCTTCAGAATAAAATTTACAAATTTGCGGTCCTCTGGGCAGTCGCTATAGGACACGTACGCATCGTATAACTTCCCATCTGTAGAGAAAGCCAGTCAGCACGGTCAGTTATAGAGACACCCCTATTCCATGCCCAGCACTTCTCTGAACACGTCTCCTCCTTCGGTTGACTCCAGTCCTGTGCCCTTCTGAGACACTGCCGTTCCACTGGCTTTGTACACCTAGAACCCTCGAGAACGACAATTCCCTCCATCCAGGACTGAACTCGGCATGCAGCGAGGCCCCTGGCCGAATCCTGTGCCCTAAACCCTTCAGAACTCCTCCACGTACCGTTCATCTCCACCTCTCCATAAGTGTCTTGGTACCAAAGCAGCACGTTCAGACGACACTTAACATAGAGCAGGGCCACCAGCAGCAGAACCACCAGGACAAGGAGGGAAGCCAGCACTGCAGCCACATGGCCAGCAGGGCCTGCAGACAGGGAGAATCACTATTCCTTTAATGTTAGGACTACGGGAAACCCTCACTATCCACCACCTTGAACCCCCTCACCAGCTCGCCAAAGAGTGAAGGAATGGGAGCTGACATTCCAGACAGAACAGGTGAAGGTTCCGTAGTCCTCAGCACTAGTCAAGTTGAGCACCAGAACGCTGGACACAATGTCTGAGAAGTTGGTGCTGACCCTGGGAAAACCAGGCCAAACTCTCATCTGGAGACCAAGAACATCGGGAGATTCCCAAGTCCCACCTGTCTGGGATTCACCCAGAGAGAGATTGCAGATTTGGGCTAAGTGGACAGAATTTGGGCCTGGGTCATGGGGATCCTTTGGTTACAGGCTTAGCTAGTCAATAAACCATTAAAGACTTAGGATTCTATCCCCAGACAGTCTACAAGATACATGAATAAACTAAGACCTGCTCCCAAAGTCAACCCTCTTATCTGTGGCCATGGGAATACCATGTCAGGTTTGCATAGGTAATATATAGCCCTTGTCCAGGTTGATAGAGTTTAGGGTGTAGGTCAGAAAGGCTGGACATGGGTATATCCTGGATGCTGCAGTCGCTTACCAGAAGTTCTGATGGAGGCTGAAGTGGCTTCCATTGCCCAATGTCAAACCATCTTTTAGCCATTGCACTGATGGCTGGGGACACTGGGGCCTAGAGACCACCCAAGCTGTGCAATTCAAAGCAACTGCACTGCCAAGGGCAGGTCCCAAGGTCTGGTCTTCTGATGGGGAAAGGAAATTAGGGGGTGTATCACAGACACCTGCAGAAAGAGTACAACAGGTCAGCCATGTTGGGATGCCTACTGCCATGCTATCCATAGATACTCTATGATCAAAAGTTTAAAAAAAAAAAAGGCAATGGGCAAGTGGCATCAGTGATCACACTACATCCATCATGAATCCTACAAGCCAGAGCCCAGGCTCGTGCTCTTCCCTCAGCAGTGGGCAGTTGTGCTTTGCTGGTCCTCATGTGACAGCCTTGTGCTCAGGGGGAACATTAACAGAAAGAGGAGTGGCCAGAGTCATATCTGAACTGAGCCAGCCCAGCCAGAGGAACCCATCTGTTGGTTTATCCCTGCTGGACATGAATCCAGGCTCCATACTGCCTCCTCAGAGTAGAGCCAGCTCCCTCAGCCTGACTGGCTTCTACTGAAGATCTAGCTACAGGGGCTATGGGACCAAAGGTTGAAAGAATACATATAGCGTTCTAACTTCTTCCACAGAGACAGGGCAAGCCAGACTCTAGGCTTCCAGGGACCCCCTCCACTGGCCGCAGACCTCCCTCTCACTTCTCTGAGGCCTAAATTTTGCCATCGTTAAGTAAAAATGTGACCCTAGCAGGAGGCTGGAGAGGTACACTGCATTACCTCATTTAACATTCACACCCCAGAACCCCACTGGGATTCCTAGGCTTACTGATTCCTGTATGCCTCATCTGGAGTCCTTGGGCGGGAGAGAAGTAGAGGCTTTCATCACTGCCCTGAGTTCAGAAGGCTTTGACCTCTGGCATGTATCCAAGTATAGAGTTGAGCAGAGAATGCAATGTGTGGCCAGCCTGACAGGCAGAAATTGGGGTGGAGATTTTGTCCTGACCCTCTGTGGCTTGCCTACCTGCCATGGCTCTTCCAGGACTTCTTCAAAGCAGGCCGAAGGCTGGTTCCACCCCTGGCACCACGGTGGCTCCTTAACCGAGCAGATGGGTCCACTGAAGCCAGAGAAGGACTCTTTTCTGTCTATTCAGCCAGATGGACAGGAGATCCTGGAGGTCAGAGGCTGCCACCATCCCCAGGGGACAAGTTAAACAGGAACAGGATGAGTTAACCAGTAACTGTCAGCCACCAGCAGTACTGGCTGCACACCAGATAGCTGCCTTGCAACCTTGACCATTCTCAGAGTGATAGGTGACCTCCTAGAGATCACAAGCCCAGAGCAGATTTTGCCTCACATAGTTTGGAAGGGGCAGGCCCATGGACCACCTTCACTTGTCCTGTGGCCACTGTGGTGACTCAGACACACAGCAGACATGCTCCAAGAAGGATCTGACCTCAGGAGATAGCAGTTAGCCTCATTCCTGGCTGTCCCCTGTAATGGAGAGACTGCTGTATGCAGGTGGGTGCATGGGTGCTTATCACCTGGCCAGGACCTGGGGATTAAGGGAATACGAGCTGTAAGTGAAACCTAACTGTGAGATTTTTCTCTGGACACATTCACGCATGCACATGTGAATGGACACATCACACCCGTGGACACCCTGAGACTCATCTGGGCCAGGAGAGGTAAATGGGGACCAGGCTGGTATAGAGGCCACTCTGAAAAGCCTTGGGAACCCCTCCTGGGAACCCTAAACACAGATGACTCCTACCTAGAGTCCTGGGTCAATCTCAGCCCACAGTAATTATATACAC